ATGATCCAGGATCTCCCGTTTGACAGTCAAGCCCTTTTCGCCCAACAGACCAATTTGAGACTGCATAGCCTGAAAGATTCACATAATACCATTAAGTCTTTAGGCATGCATACTTCGGCAACTCAGAGAAAGCCGTTCAAGCCACAGCCCACCCAACAGCGATCCTTCCCCACTAGACCCAGGCAGGATTCCTCCCACAGGAGGAGCAGATACTCTCAGCACAGGCCATCGTGCCCTCCTCCTGGGCAGAGCCAGGGACAATCCAAGCCCCCTCCAAACCCTAAGCACACCTTTTTAAGATGCGCATGAGGACGGGTTACCAGTCCACAACCTGGTCAGCTATCCTCCCTTTCTGAACCGTCTATCCCACTTCTACCGTGCATGGTCCCTTTATTACATCGGACCGATGGGTCCTCCGCATGGTAGAAGCGGGATAGTCTATCCACTTCTGCTCCTCCCCGCCCTCCCACCCCCCCTTGCCCATCCCTCTTCAGAGACCCCTCTCACAAGCAGCTCCTTATTCAGGAGGTCCAGTCCCTCCTTGCTCTAGGAGCCATGGAGAAGGTGCCTCAGGAGCTCAGAGGCAAGGGATTCTATTCACATTACTTCCTCGTTCCCAAGGCAAAAGAAGGCCTACAGCCCATTCTGGACCTCAACAAATACATTGTCAACTTGAAGTTCCGCGTGGTATCCTTGGGCACAATCATTCCCTCACTGGATCCGGGAGACTGGTGCGCCGCCCTCGATATGAAGGACGCTTATTTTCACATTTCAATCACTCCGTCTCACAGACATTTTTCTCTGCTTCGTGGTGAACAAGACGCATTATCAGTTCACAGCCCTCCCATTCGGCCTGTACACGGCTCCTCGCATCTTCACCAAATGCATTATGGTCATGGCAGTCTTTTTTCGCCGCCATCACATGCATGTCAACGTGTACCTGGATGACTGGCTCATACGAGGCCGGTCTCACCAGCAGGTAGAATCACAGGTGCAAATGGTCAGAGACACGTTCAACCACTTGGGCATCATTCTCAATGTCAACACGTCTGTTCTCACCCCAACCCAAACAGAGTTTATTGGGGCGGTCCTGGATGCAAACCAAGCGAGAGCATTCCTCCCAGAGGCCCTATGTCTAGCCCTTGCACACATATTCGCCGGTCTCTGCAGTTTTCCCACTACCACAGCGAGGCAGTATCTCAAGCTGCTGGGTCACTTGGCATCCTGCACTTACGTGGTGCAGCATGCCAGGTTGAGGCTCAGGCCTCTACAGGTGTGGCTGGCGTCCACATATCGCCCGGGCCATGACAGTCCGGACATGGTGCTCACCGTCCTGAGGCATACCCTCAATTCCCTGCATTGGTGGCTGGATTCCCGTTCCACCCTCCCCAACCCTCTCTGACTCTGGTAACGGACACGTCCGTGCTGGGCTGGGGAGCGCATCTCCGAAGCCTGACGACTCAGGGTGTATGGCAGGTAGAGGAGCTGGCCCTGCATATCAATATAAAAAAACTCAGGGCTATCCGCCTTGTATGCCAAGTGTTCCTGTCCCACTTGCAGGGCCATTGTGTAGTGGTGCTGACGGACAACACCATAGCCTTGTTTTATTTAAACAAACAAGGTGGGGCCCGGTCGTCTCCTCTATGTCAGGAAGCCCTTCTACTGTGGGAATTCTGTCTAGCCCACTCCATCCTTCTCCAAGCTTCATATCTGCCGGGCGTTCAGAACGTACTGGCAGACAGCTTGAGCAGACGCTTCCTTATACACGAATGATCAATTCGTATGGACATTATCCACTCCATTTTCCGCAGCTAGGGGTTTCTCCGAATTGATCTGTTCGCCACACGGACCAGCAGGAAGCATCCAACCTTCTGCTCCTTCCGGGGTCACAGCCCGGGCTCGATCGTGGGTGCCTTCCTGATTCCATGGTCTGGTCAGTTACTATACACCTTCCCGCCATTTTCTCTGGTCCACAAGGTGCTTCTCAAGGTCCGCAGGGACAAGGCGGACGTCATACTGGTGGCCCTAGCTTGGCTTCGCCAGTGCTGGTACCCCACTCTCTTAGATCTGTCGATCCACGCCCTGCTGCGTCTACCTCTCACCCCCGACCTCATCTCACAGAATTATGGTTGTCTCCTCCATCCAGACCTTCAATCTCTCCATCTCATGGTCTGGAGGATCTGTAGTTGAACTGGGCTGAGCTTGCCTGTTCGGAGTTGGCGAGACAGGTGCTTCTGGAAAGCCACAAACCTTCTACCAGGATTATGTATGAAGCAAAGTGGAAAAGGTTTTCCATTTGGTGTGCTCAACGGCAGGTGCTCCTGCTCCAGGCTTCAATCCTGTGCATCCTGGACTATTTAGTGCACTTAAAAACCAGCATCTGGCATTTGGCTCTCTTAAAGTCCACCCAGACATTGCCGGGCGTTCCATGTTTGCACATTGGGACATTTCCTAAAAGGTCTGGAAAAAGTCCATCCCCTGATGAAGCCCCCTGTGCCGGCCTGGGACCTTAACTTAGTCCTCTCCCATCTCCTGGGTCCCCCTTTCGAGCCGCTAGCTTCCTGCTTGCTCCTCTATCTCTCCTGGAAGGTTGCCTTCCTAGTGGCCATTACCTCAGCACGACGTGTTTCTGAGCTACGGGCTCTCACGTGTGAGCCACCGTATACCATTTTCCATAAGGACAAAGTTCAGCTTAGGCCTCATCTAGCTTTCCTACCAAAAGTTGTATTCCGTTTCCATGTCAGCCAGGATATTTTCCTGCCGGTTTTCTACCCAAAACCGCATGCTAATCTTTGAGAGCAGCAGCTGCATTCACTGGATGTCAGAAGGGCGCTCGCCTTCTACATAGATCGAACAAAGCCATTCCGCAAGACAACCCAGTTGTTCATCGCTATAGTGGAACGAATGAAAGGTGCGCTGGTTTCTTACCAGCAGATATCTTCATGGATCACAATGTGTATTCGTGCTAGTTATAACTTGGCAAATGTCCCTCCGCCTGCTGTTACAGCTCACTCCACAAGAGCTCAAGCCTCCTGCAGCCTTTCTGGCACATGTACCTCTCCAGGAAATCTGCAGGGCTGCCACATGGGCTTCAGTGCACACCTTCATGTCGCACTATGCCATCGTCCATCAATCTTGTGATGATGCGGCCTTCAGCAAGGCGATTCTTCAGTCTGCAATACCTTGACTGCGACCCCACCTCCAAGATAAGGTTTAGGAGTCACCTAACTGGAATTGATATGAGCAAGCACTCGAAGAAGAAAAAACGGTTACTCACCCTTTTTGTAACTTGTTCTTTGAGATGTGTTGCTCATATCTATTCCATTCTCCCCCACCACCACCACCACCTTCCCCTGTCGGAGTTGCTGGCAAGAAGGAACTGAACGGGGGTTGGGCTGGCAGGTCATATATAGAGCACCATACCAGCGCCACTCTAGGGGCTCCACAGCCGGCCTGACGGGTAGGGCTAGGGAAAAGTTTCCAACTTCTGTGCATGCAGCGCACGCACAAACCTAACTGGAATAGATATGAGCAACATATCTCAAAGAACAACAGTTACAAAAAGGGTGAGTAACCGTTTTTTTTGTTTTGTTTTTTTTTAAGTCAAGGCTATATCAGCATTCAGATTCTAGAAACTTTGAAGAAGCATGAAAAAGAATTGTATAAACCTTATAGTGATAGGTGCAATTAAAAAAACCTGTGTAATAGATTTTATATAAAATCTATGTAGTTGAGAGTTCTAAATTTGTTTAAGTGAACATGTTTTGCATAGTTGTTGCATTTATGGTCACTGCTGCAATGTGAGTCTCAATTCAGACCTCCTTGTAAATAAAGACTTATAAAAATCCAATCCCAGTTTTATAAAAATGGCTTCTTGGTTTCTAAAATCCAACTGTGAAATTTACCTTTGTAACATTGTTCCCTGCGGTAAAATATATACTTTTTTTTTTTAGAAATGTAATACTTTAATTCATTTATAATAGCAACTCTCTCTATATATAAAAAGTATTCTTTTCTCAAATGTAGAACAAAGTTTTTCTATCCTTTTATTTAATGTAAAATAAACAAACACCCTTCAAAAAGACATTTTCCTAACTTTTCATGACATCATGTATATTTCTCCAGTGTTTAAATATACCCATCCCAAGAGTAATAGGACTTCGTGTCAGCAGAATGATAAATATTTTAGACAAGCATATTATAAGTCAGACGTGAGGGGGGAGGAAAACAAATTGGTAAAGTGCACAATTACCCCTCCTTGAAATTAATCCCATGTTTTAGTAATAGTACAAGACTGTTTTAACAATCTAAATGAGTTTCTACAAGACACTAATTGTTTTTGCTGAAGCAGTTCTAGTAATGAACAAAAACTCCGTTCTTTTACCTACCTATGAAGTATAAACCAGACGTTTCATCAGTTGCTACCTTGTACACGAACTTGAATGACACCTTCCAATGATTCTGCATTTTCCTCAATGGATCATCAGTCTGTATGATTTCCCTAGTCCCTGTTTGCCAGAAGCTGGGAATGGGAAACAGGGGATGGATCACTTGATGATTATCTGTTCTATTAATTCCCTTTGGGGCACCTTATCGGAAGACAGGATATTTGGCTAGATGGACCTTTGGTCTCACCCAGTATGGCTGTTCTTATGATGGAAAAAAGGGGAGAGAGATGATGTGTTTGATGCAGAATATTGACCACACATCCTTATGGCATCTACTGTTGGGCAATCTGTAAATTGTCTTCGGCAGTCTTGTGCATTGAAAGGTATAAAGAATGGCAGAATACTGGCCATGGAAGGAAGGAGGGAGGCATGAAGGAAACAGACAGTAGAGAAGGCGTCAAGCTTAGATGACTGATGGATACCTTAAAAATATAATTAAAGAATAACATTATACATTTTGTCCATGCTGTCTGTATTAACAAAATTTAAGTGGTGGTGGTAGAAGAGTGTAGCATAAACATAAAAGGTAAAATAACTCCATTCTTTTTATAGGAACTCAGTGGCGAAAGGACCAAGAACAAGATTTGAAAAATGTCCTGAAGAACATTGACCAAGACATTCCATTGGTATTTGTCAGCGGAAATCATGATATCGGCAATGTTCCAACACCTGAAACAATAGATGATTATTGCAAGCACTGGGGAGATGATTACTTCAGTTTTTGGGTTGGAGGAGTTTTCTTTCTTGTGCTTAACTCACAGTTATATTTTGATTCCTCTAAATGTCCTGAGTTAAAGCAGGCCCAAGATGAGTGGCTTGATGCACAACTGGCTGTAGCTGAAAAACAGACGTGTAAACATGTAATAGTATTTCAGCATATTCCTCTATTTCTACAAAACCCGGATGAAGACCATGACTATTTTAACTTGGAGAAGTCGGTTCGGCAGGAGCTGATGGAAAAGTTTCATAAAGCAGGTATCGCTGCTACTTGCATTTAACTGATTTTTAACTGATCAGCACTATGATGTGAACAGCTCATACCCTGGGATACAATAAGTGGACCTTGGGTGGCGTTTGGGTTAAGAGCTTTGTTTTGGGTTTGGCATAGGAAGGGAAATTTTTACTTTTAGCCTTTTTAAAAAGAATAGCAGTTAGAGGTAAATGTGTACTAGTTGGGCAGTATGTTATATTTTTATCAGTAGAATAGAAATTAAGTAGGAGTGACCGTTAAAATTGAAAAGGAGAAAGATCTGAGCATCTGGGGATGCATTTTATTATCTTACTACATATTACTACATATTTTATTTTTTTTATTATATATAAAAAAGATGTGTGACTAATATCACGGGGTGGGTGAGTGTGTTTCGTCTCTCTTTCCTCTACCTTTTTACAGGTTCTATCTTTTAAACAGTAAGCTCTTCAGGGCAGAAACTCCTTTGTATAGCATTTAAAAGAATGAGGTTAACTGGGGTAACACAAATGAACTACATACAGTAGGTAAACTTTCTCTCCCCCCCCCCCCCAAAAAAAAAAGAAAAACAAACAAACAAATAATCCTTCCTTGACAGCCATTAGTTTGGACTGCCTATTTGACAAGAGTGTAAGAGAGATGTGTCCCAAGATGCTTGATTGTGTGAATGGACAGTATCCACAGGTTGAAGCCTCCCACTGCTATGTGTGTGTGTGTGTGTGTTTGTGTATAATATATAAATATTTTTTAAAATTAGATCCAGAGAATAGGCTGTATCCCATACAAGTGAAGCACCAGATAATACTGATTCAAGTCTGGTTTAGAATGATGTGATTGACAAATCTGTTTGATCTGACAGGTGTAAAGGTTTACCTATGGTAAAGAGTAGTTTCAGGCAGGTCAGCTCAACTTTGTGAGCCGGGCAGGACACCTCCCATTTTACATCTCCCCATAAAAAGAAGAGCTGCTGTCACAATGAAATGTCATTGCTGCATATCACCATGTATTTTACCTTGATCACTTCAGAGTCATTGTCCATTTTTAAAACGCACTCTGCGTGAACCAGTCACAAAAAAGAATAGGTATGGTTGTTCTAAAACAATGACCCAGAATTTCACATACATGTTTTGAGGGGTATTAAAGTCTATGCCTATGGGTGTGTGTGTTCCCTGCAAAAGTAATTGTCAATATTTTATTTCCCAAGCCCAGAAACTATCGCAGTAGTTCAGCAAGCATCTTTGAATTTTAACATTTTAAAATACATTTGTTTTTAAAAAACAAAACAAAACCCAAAGTTATCCCTTGGTACTGTTAAAATTTAAACCTTTTCTATCACAGAGATTCACTGACATTGCAATATACCTCACAGATGCGTTATTACAAAATCATACTCTGCCACATTTTATTTTAGTTATTAGATCCCTGCTGCCAACCTGACCCTAATATGAAATAAAATGTCCCAGAGGGATGGGAAATAATATAAGAGTATAAGGAAAAGTATCCTCTTTCAAGACTATCCTGGAAGATCATAGTGGAGGTTCTTGTACAAAATATAACCTTTCCATTTTGTCCTTTTTAATCTTTGTGAATTAAATTGTTTAGCATTTTTTAAGAAAAATACAATATGCATATCTGTTTATGGAGTTTTTTAAAGAGCTGTTCATATCAGTACTAGTTTAATAGGAAATATCTTTAATCAGGTAAATACTTGTACATTTGTTTTAAAGTGTTTAAAAATGTATGTGTGAGATAGTGTTACTTAGGCCTTGTCTACACTGCAGAGTTTTATCGCTAAAAGGCAGCTTTTGGCGACGAAACAATGGAGGTGTACATGCTGCAATGCCACTTTTGGTAACAAAACTCTTCAATTTCAGCAACAAAATAAAACCACCTCAATGAGAGGCACAGAGCTTTTTGCGACAAAGTGTCCATGTAGATGCTGCCGTTCATTATATCACTGTAACTGGCTTCCCCCAGTATCCCACAATGTCGGTCATGACTTCTCTCCTCACTGTTTCGAACTTGGCTGACCTGCATTTCTGCTACACAGGAAGGCACCCCTTCCCTTTCAGAGCTCTGTGAAGTTCTGACAGCTAAGCATGCCGCTCAGCTCCGGCAGCAAAGAGGAAATCATTAATGTGGAATGCTGCTCTCTCCCGCACTATGGAACACACAGGCAAGCAGGCAGAGGCGTGTGTGTATGTGTGTGAGACTGCTGTGCAGGCAGGCGGGGGCTGATGTTGGGGGTGTCCCCCTTCACCGCCTCAGGACTGGTTGCTTTTGGTGGTTGGCTGAACTTAGAGAGACAGCATGCCAACACACTCCCTCTCCCCCGACGCACACTCTGTCTCTCTCACATACACACTCCCCCGACACACATTCTGTCTGTCTCACACACACACACACATACACACACACTCCCCATCACGTGCTTCCCCCCGCACACTTCAGTTGAAAAGCGGCTGGCAATCTAGCACGATGCCCATGGAACGATAGGATTGTGCAGCCTGCATCATGTGATGCTGTACCTGCCCCATGAGGCATTGAAAACCCTTCCCAAAGAACCCTGTGGCCAGTTTCACAGTGGGATAGCTACCCACAGTGCACTGCTCTCTATGCCAATGCGAGAGCTGCTAGTGTGGATGTACTCTGCCGACACAACGAGCAGTGTGGACATGGAATAGCAGTTTAAAGTGCTTTAATTATAGTGATAAAACTCTGCAGTGTAGACAAGGCCTAAAATGAAATGGGTGTCATAAGTCTCCCGGAGGTAAATAAGCATTAATGTAGAGTCATTGCTGTCTTCCAAGTTCATTTTCATTCAGTTGACTTACTAACATTTGGTACCATTTTATAATTGTGGCATTATTCCTTTGATATCAAAATTAATTTATGTAAAATGCCTTCATTGTAAATGATACTGTATTAAGCACTAGTGCATTATATACTCCTGGGGAAATTCTGTACCAAAAAAATTAAAAATTCTGCACAGTATTTTCAAATTCTGCAATATTCTGCATATTTTATTTGTCAAAATAACACAATTTAATCACAACAGTTTCAATTATTTTTGGTCATTTGTTTCAAAATACCTATCAGCAAGTATGTCTGTAGCAATACAGACAACAAAAAATAATCAGAAAATGTTTTTTGACAAACAGATTCCTTTACTAGGCATATTAATACAGAACTCTGAGTAATAATAATTCATTTAAACTACAATACAGAACTGTATTTCCTGCACCCCTCAGAAGCAGTGAAAAGGGTTTGAGGGAGTCCGGGTTAACGAAGGAGCTGAAGGAGAGGGAAATAATTTCTGGGAAGGAGCCTAGGTATGAACTTGGAGGGTTGTTGGGTATGGGTGGGACAAGTATGGAAGAGGTTGCGGGGGTGGAGAGGGACTGCTAGGGAGCTTCCCCATGTAGATGCTGGCTGACCTCTAGCCTCTCCCATTCAGTCAGGCACATCTGCCCCTGTACTCCCATGTGGCCCTGTACCCCCATGTGTCTCTGTGCCCCCACTCAGCCACCCGCTTGTTCCTTTATGGCCCTGCACCTCCTGTACCCCCAGGTGTCTCTGTGCCCCCACTCAGCCACCCGCTTGTTCCTTTATGGCCCTGCACCCCTTCCCCCTGTCCCCATGTGACTCTGTGCCCCCTCTCAGTCACCTCCTGCCCCCTGTAGCTCTGCACCTCCCTCTTTCTTTACCTATGTGGCTCTGCACCTCAGCTCCCATTCAGCCCCTGCCCCAGTCTGTCCTCCCCCACTAACCTTTATGAGCCCCATCTGACCCCTCAGCAGCCCAGGCTGTCTGTCTCCCCATAGCTCCCCACAGCGGGTGCTGTGAAGAAGACCAGCTCTTTCTCTTCCCCAGCTGGCTTGGAGCAGCTGCTGTGTTCTAGCACCACAATGCTCTCTGGTGGGCAAAAGGTGGAACTGCCGCAACATTCCCACACAAGCTTTTTTCTGCGCAAAATATTAAAAGTATGCACTGCTCATTAATTATGCACGCACAGTGGTGCAGAATTCCCCCAGGGTAATAGTGTTACTGAAAATTAGCATTCCACTTGCCTTTTAAAGTTCACGTTATACAGTGCTTCTCCCTATCAGAGTATTTCACAAAACTACATCTTGCATAGTCTTATCCTGCCATTAAACTGAAACTTGGTTGACTGAAACCTTTATCAGTATATAAAGGTCAATCATTCCTATTTTCTGGCTGGTTGCAACCATGTTAACACTTCAAAGAGCCATCTCTTCAGATAATGTTTTACAGAGTTAATTAATTTAAAGATAACATTAAATAGTACATGGCTGTTGTATTTAACTTGGTGCATCCCTGGCTTTTTTATAGTCTCTCTTCTTTCAGTGATATTTCATAATAATCTATTGGTAGCCTTACTTAAAATGTCTATACTTTAAATATGTTAAAACTTTATCAGAGCACCAAGATAGCTTTAATTTATGGGAAAAAGAGACAGTAATGAAAGACCACTCTATTGAACAAATCACCCACTCCCAAATAATAAGAGCCACATTGTGTTCGGATCACTTACTACATTTGTATTAATTAAACAAATGAAATGAGGATAAAGCGCTAGAAAGCTAGCAATACAACAGCTTAACTAAATAAGCTGTGAAAAATTCTCTGACTCAAAAACAGAACTCTCTGTGGCTGAGTTTCCTTAGTAACAGATGCATTCTGCTTCCTTTTTTTTTATTTTTATTATTCTCTTGAAGAGCCTTCTTTGTAGGAGTATAAAAAACAGTTATCATGGTAGCACAGATGTGTAGTGACACCAGTTATTTTCTATCTTTATGCTTTTCCCAAGAATTAATCAATTTCAGCACACCCTTGGTTATGAAATTGGTTTTCCCCCATATAATTCACCTCATACATACATGGAGGAAAGAGAGAGACAATAGATAACAAAGTCCCAGTGTACTCTGCTTATTTTCTGAAAAAAAAAACCCAGACACTCTGGCTCTTGCAGGTTAAGGAGGTT